TGTGTTATGCTCCTATACCTCACCTTGACAGTCCTGACTTGACTTAGGGACTCTGGTTTTCAAACACCTGGCTCTGTGACTTTCTGACTATGCTTCTCAGTTTGAGATGATTCTTTCCATCTCTGGTACTTTGATTTATTCTTACGTTGGCTTCACTTTTACCCAAATTAATTTCTTATCTGGCCTTCATCTTTGGGCTTACTGGAGTAGTCTGATGAAAGTACATGCCTCTTAGGAAATCTGAAGCTGCAGTGGAAGAAACTTGTGTTAGGCTGCTTCTCAGCAGTATTGGAATGGGGACAGATATGGAAGTCCTTTGCATGATTTCTCTTGAGTCTGCATGCTGTGAGGGATTACTTGTGGATCAGTTTTGCATCAGAGGCTTAATCTGAATGCAAATATTCATTTTCAGCCTTAGATGACCACATTTATGCTTCTTTCATATTGAAATCTGTTGTAGGCAGACCAGTTTTGGCATGGGGTAAGCAATTTCCAGGGCTCAAGGTTATTTTCTCTCACTTGTGTTCTTCTCTTTTACTATTTGTTGACTTTTCAAATGTCAGTCAAGCTCTGCATAACTGCTCATGGCACCAGTTGTTACTGTTTTCCATGTTGATTCAGTATCTTGGAATTTGTAGCTAACCTTTCTCTCTTCTTTATTCCAGATGCCATTGCTTGCATTTTATTGCAACACAATTAATTTTGGTATCATCCATTCCATGCCTCTCTATAGAATTATCTGTTTAGCTTTGCTTTCTAAACCAGGCACAGTATCATTAACACTGCATATAAATTCCGCTAAAAGCTTCAGGACCAAACCCAGAACCTCCATAATTAGCCAAGCCAAAAGCCCAACACATGTATGCCGGAAAAAATGTGCAAAGTTCCAGAGAGGCTGATGATCAATAGCTTAAGTGCCCTCAGTGGATGCATGAAGACCATGTGTGAAAAGAGGATACACTTAGTGATGGGCTATGTGTCTGTGTTTTGCCATCTGAACTTTCCATCTCCTTGCAAATATAACTTTATTTTAGAAATGTAATTTCTAAATGTAGAAAGCATTTTGATGATACAAAGAATTTAATTGCTACAGGCCCTTTATCTATCTTCCTCTTGTGTACTCAGGTAGAACAAGAGGGGGAAAAACTATTGTCAAAAGATCCTCAGACAGTGCCCCTTGATGGTGATCTAAATTGCTATGTGGTCTTTTGTATAGGCTGTCTACACTGGGGTGAATTTCTTCTCTTGGATATGATGGAGTACTGATAAATTATATTGCCTATTCAAGGCTAGTACACAACCCTTGGTATCAAATTTATTTTACTTAAATGTAGGTGAATCTAGTTATTTTGAAAGTTTTAGGTGGTTATTGTCACTGTTGTGACTGTGAGCTGTAACAGAACGTTGAGTTCACTATGGAGCAGCTCCTCAAGACACACTGTCAATGTATACTAGTATGGAGTGGTTTTAATCTTGTACACAATGATGCTACAAAGAGGCTGTAGCCTAGGCAATAGACATAGATTCACAGATCTTGAGACTCCCCAGTAATTTTTATATTATATACTTATATTGAAGTATTTCATATTGAAGTAAACCAAAACAATTGCACATCTACCTTGAAAGAAAAATCAGGAAAATCATTAGTTAAGGCAGCTCCAATATCCAGACTAACCTTGTTGCACATATTTTCTGTTCAGCCATCATAGTACTTAAGGGCCCTTGCTAATTCCCCTTTACTTCCCGAGATACTGTCAAACTTATATTTATTACAAGTGAAGCCAGAACTTCCAGAGGCTAACAGTAATACAGGAAGGACACCCCTGTAGCTAGAACAGTCTTTCTCTAATGATTAAAATTTTAAACTCTATCTCTTGCAAACAATACTTTAAAACAGTATCTTAATTAGTTGAGTCAGAGTGCAAAAGTATTGCTACATGTCTGTAAAATAGTCCTCACCTTGCTGCTGAAATAGAGTCAAGACAACTTGATTGCTAATTTTTCATGGGATCTATGATACAGTTTGAAATCCCTCAGTCTGTGTGTCTTTATGAAAGTCTGACTTAAAATTGCTGGCTTCTCTTTGTATGGACATTTATTCCTCCTTCCACTTCAGCTGGATGCTGCTACTTTCCAGAGCTGCTGTGTGCTTAAATGAATTGTCATGTCTCAGCTAAAATGGAAAAGAATTGTTCATCTGAGGCAAAGAGGTGGGTACTAACTTATTCTGGACTCGAAAAAAATCTCTCCCCCAGCTCTTACAGAGCTGTCCTCAAAAATCAGTAATCAGGTGTGACTGCTCTTTGGAAGATCAGAGCTTCCAATGTATCGTGCTGGGCTTCTGTTCTACTAGGGGATGAAATGACTAACAGTGCTATGAGGGATTAGTGATGCAAGAGGTCAAATTAGTGTTAGAATTTTTCCAGAATCCACTGACTTGTGCTCTTTTCATTCAAATATGTGATCTTCATATTGTCCTCCTGCTGTTAAATGAGAAAAAGGAATTTAATAGGACTCAGATCCCATGAAAAATAAATCCTTCTGTGACCAAGGAGTGTGAGCAAAACCTGAAGGACCAACTGTGTGGATGGATTTGAAGAACAGAATTAAGTCATAAGGAATGCCTATACAACCTTTACTACTAACACAAATCTGAAACAGAGTATCTCTAGTTTTTTACCATTATCAAAGAGCAAAGATGATGTTCGGTGATTGCTCTCTCTCTTCCTTTCCCTCCATCACATCAAGGACAAGGATTTTGCTACTGAAACAAGTACGGGCTAGGATTTCACCACACCAGGACAGAGTAGTTACGAGGTCTTACACTTGTGATCTGAATCTTGGCTGTATCATACCTTGCAGAAATGGCATGATACATGGTATTTAGCTGTGGTACTGACCTTTGTTTTATGAAAGTTCACCTGAATGCTCCTAAAGAAGAGATGACCTGAAATGGGGATTCTACCTTGGAAAGGAAACTAGACACATTCAAGAGATGAATAATCAAGACCCTCCACAAGATAAAATGAAAGAGCTTTACATAGCCTGGATGGCCTATTAAAATTGAAAACAAGAAGGAAAGGAAAACCGTTTAAAAAAAACAACTCCTGCATAGCCTTCAGAATTAATACAGTCATGCTGGAGCTGTGACACGGGATGTCCTTATATAAGCAGCAGCAACAATGATACTTTCCATGGTAAAAAATCAGAGCTGAAGTCTTGTCCTGTGATTAATGGGGGAGCAAATGTAAACTCGAGAGACCCAGCATCTCTGCTATTCCAGTCTATGAAGACAAATCCAGATGACTCATGCAAACAGCCTGCAGTCACAGAAGAACGGATCCAAACTGGTCTTCCACACCTCATGAAGCTGGGGCCCACAACATGTATGCAATACTGGCCATGCTGCATTCCTCACATGCTACTTCTCCTTCCGTGTCCAAGCACCAAGTGCCACTGGGTAGTGTTTCCCGGCAGTGGGGACGAAGATGTAGGGTTTTTTTCTGACCAGATTCTTCTGTGCACTTTATGCTTCATGAAGTATGCCTACCGCATGATGTCTGCTTATTTGTCATGGGCTTCAGGATTTTTCTGGGCATACATAAGACACCCTTGCTTGAGCCCTAGCTCTGTTTTCACATTCTCATGTTACCACTGCAATAGAAATCTCAGATGGCAACTTTATTACCCAGCTAGTCTGTGCTCCTGGGACAAGAGGATGGTCACAGCACATGGAGCTTACCACAGTTGTTGGAACAGGCTGAGAACTCACGCTGTTCCACTAAATGTCAGTCACATACAATGTCTTCCCATGCTCAGAGAAAATACCACAAGGACAGCCAAAAAAACGTCCCCTAAAAATGTCAGGCAAATCAAAGCAGAGTATGTGTCCCAACTGCCTTCTTATACTCTCTGTGGCTTTCTAAAGCAATAGTATCTGCTAAGCAAGAAACTTGTACATCACCTTAAGGGAAAATGGGAAGCCGGGTTAGGTGTCTGTTGATTCTTGGCTCATCTACACAAAAGTTATTCAACAACAAATCCATAAACATCCCACTTCCAGAACAGGTGTGCCCTATTTTCCTCTTTAATTAAAACTCACAGTGTTAAACTAAACCAGAACAGCTCAGCCTTATTCTGGAAATTAGTCATGAAATTAGTCAGGAATAGCTCCTCCTGTACAACATGTATAAACAAGCCCATAACAACATTTATGTTGTCTGGAATGGTGGATGACACCTTCACAAATGTAAATTACTTTCCAATCCTCTAAGAAACATGAAGCAAGAGTTGTTGTCTTCCAGCTGGGGGCGGCGAACACTTCTCACCCATGTTCGGCCGTTCCGTTTCTCCTCGCAGGCCCATTTGAGGGGACGGTGGTGCCCCAGCGTTGAGGCCGAGCGCTGCAGCCCGCCCCAGCCCATGCCCCAGGCTGGAGTGTGACAAGTGCGCCGGGCAAGACCCACAGCTACGGGCAATGGATGTATTTTCCCTCTATCCGAGGGGATGGATCAGCAACCCTCCGGCTCAGGATGCTATGTAAGAAGATTCCCCGTTCACGCAGGCCAGCCCCGGCTGCGCGCGTGCCGCTACCTGCGAGTCACCTCTCCGGGGACGCCCTGCTCGGGGCGGGCACCCCGCGGGGCAGGCGCTCGGAGCGGCCGGCGCTCCGGGCACGCAGGCGCGTTTCCCTGCGCGTAGCCGCCGCCCCCGTGAGCGGCAGGTAGCAGCCTCCCTCCCGCGGCCACAGGCTGGCCATGCCGTGCAGGATCGGGCCGGGCCGGGCCGGGCCGTGCGGCCGCTCGGTGGGGGCTGCGCGGCCCCGGCGCTCCGCGCGGCGCGGCGGGCGGGCGCACCTGGGCGGCACGGCGCGCGCGGGGCGGGGCCGCTGGCAGTGAGTGGCACCGCGGCGCGGGCCAATGGCGGCGCGCGGGAGAGGGAGCCGGGCGGGCGGGGCCGGGCGGCGCGCGGGGGCTGCGCGGCGGAGCGTGTGCAGCGGCGCGCGGGGCCGCGGCCGGTGTCGGTGCGATCCGGGGAGAGACCCTGCGGGGGGCGGCGGGGAAGACACGGATCCGGATCCCCATCCAGTGCGCCGGCGGCCGTGGTGGTGGCGGCGGCGGCGGCGGGAGGAGCCGGAGCGGCGCGCCGTGGAGGAAGGAAGCGCGGGGCTGGCCGCTGCGTGTGCAACCTGGCTGTTCCTGCTGCCCGCGTCCACTCGCGGCTTTTCCTGCCGGCGCTGCCTGACAGCCGTCCGCTGCGGGTGTTGTCGCCGGGGTCTTTGGCGGGGGGGGGAAGAGCGAGCCGTCCTGCACAGCCCGGAGGCGTGATTGAAAGCGAGCAATAATTAACTGGAGGAGGAAGAGGAGGACGGGGGTGGAGGAAGACGAAGGAGGAAGGCACCGCGCGGCAGAGCCCAGCCGAGCCAGCGAGCGGCGGCGGGACGCGGCAACTTCGGCCGCAGCGGAGGAGCCGGAGCCGTGACCGCAGCGGCCGCCGCCGCCTCAGCCCGCGCCTGCCCTGCCCGAAGGGGGAGAGCCTCGCCGCCTCCCCGGCCGCCGGACATGTCGGAGCATAGGGCCGCTGATCCCAAGTTATCGACGACGGACAGGGTGGTGAAAGGTGGGTGCTGCGCCCCCGCCGCCCTTTCGGCCGGGTCCTCCCGCCGGGCCCCCTGCTGCCGTCCCCCCTTCCCCGCCCCGGGCAGGTACCGCGGGGTTGCCGGTGGCGCGGCAGCTGGGAGGGGTGGGCTCGGCCTGGGGGCTTGCGCCGGGCCCCAGTGGAGGGTTTGCGGCTTCCCTCGCCTGCCTGCCCGGCGCTACATTGCAGCATTTCCCCCCCTTCCTCCCCCCTCCGCCTCCCCCCCCTCCGCCTCGAAGGCGCTGCACAGGGCTGGCGTGAGAGAGAGGGGGAGCCCCAGCTTCCTCCCCCGCCCCGGTGCCTGGGGGAGAGGAGGGCAGGGCTCGGCCCCCTCCCCCAGCCCGCCAGCTCCTCTGGGCATCCCCCTTTCCTCCTCCTCCGGTCCGCGCTCCCC